CCTAGACGAGGTTGCATTTGCCTCTGAATTAATTCACCTTTGGAAAATCATTTGGGACTCAGTGGGGTGTCGCCACTGAGTGCGGGGGATATTCTCGTACACGGGGCATTCTATCAACCATTCGACAAGCCGCAAAGCGGCTCATACTGTGGATGGACGAAATCCATTCGCACCACTTGGAAACCATCGTAAACCATTTTTCATTGGTATTTACAGGGGAATCATCATGTCAGGGTTTCTTTGGTGGTGCAGGATTTCGTCCATCCACAGTATTCTATAGTCAGCCACTGATGCTGAAAGTTAGTTTTGTTTCTCAGTTGCCCAAGCCAACCTTTGGACCTGTTGGTTCCCGGTTTGGTCCCCATAAGTCAAGGTTTCAAGCAGTTATCTTTTATTGTTGGGTCCTTTCACCAACTGAGGTTTTGGTTTGTTGTCGCTTTGCCCTTGTTTGGGTTTGCTGCATGTTCCCTTGTAGCGTCAACCTTTGGGTTTGTCTTAGATTCTGGAACCTATTGCAACAAGCATGCGGTTATCCTATTGGTTTCCCTTGTTGTCCAAGGCTAATGTGTCGACTTTTTTTGGTTTTTCCATGTTGGCAACCATTTTTGTGCCATGGCCCCCAAATGCGATCACCTTGTATTTCTGGGCCCCTTTTTGGGTAACTGAGTGGCTTAAAATTCGAGAACCATCCCAAACCCTGCTTCTCAATTCTCAGTTTTTTGTTTCCCCTCAAAATCCCACCAAGAGGAGTTTACTCGTTAATTTATAAAACTAGAGGACGATTGGCCCGAAAGCATTTTTCCCCAAGCGCTTCCCATCATGTGCTTTTCCAGCCGCGGAGACGCCCTTTTACATCGATGCAACAGCTTCTGCAAAGCAGGCTCGTGCAACTTGGCCCTATGTAACTTGACTCTACGCAACTTGGCTCTGTGTAACTTGACTCTATGCAACTTGGCTCTGTGCAACTTGGCTCTGTGTAACTTGGCTTTGTACAACTTGGCTTTGTGCAACTTGGCTCTGTACAACTTGGCTCTATGTAACTCGGCTCTATGGTAACTTGGTTCTATGGTAACTTTGCTCTATGGTAACTTTGCTCTATGGTAACGTGTGGCTCTATGTCACTTGGCTCTATGTAACTTGGCTCTGTGCAAGTTGCTCTGGGCAACTTGCTCGGTGCAACTTGCTCTATGTAACTTGGCTATGGTCCAGGCTGCTTTCGGGCAAGTTGCTCTCTGCACGCTGCTGCACGCAAGTGCTCTGTGCAGGTTGCTCTGCGCAAGTGCTCTGAGCAAGTTGCTCTGCGCAAGTGCTCTGCGCCAGTTGCTCCGTGCGAGCGCTTTGCACATGTGCTCTGTGCAAGTTGGTCTGTGCAAGTTGCTCTGCGCAAGTGCTGTGCGCAAGTGCTCTGTGCAATTCGCAGAGCACAAGTTGCTCTGTGCAAGTGACTCTGCGCAAGTTGCTCTGCGCAAGTGCTGCCGGAGCTGTGGGAATGTAGAGGGTCGCGCGCGCACCGCAGAAATCGTAAAAAGTCCTCAGTTTTTGAACCTCGACCACGCGAATCTCCGCAGAGGGTCGCGCGCGGCCAGCAGAAATCGTAAAAAAGTCCCCAGTTTTTGAACCTCGACCACGCGAATCTCCGCAGAGGGTCGCAATCCCGAGCGACGATCAAACTCCCGCCCCGGCGCCTTAGAAACTTAAACTAACTTACATAGCTGCTAACGCCGAAGCTCTAAGCTCTACCTAACCTTGGCTCTATGTAACTTGGCTCTATGTAACTTGGCTCTATGTAACTTGGCTCTATGTAACTTGGCTCTATGTAACTTGGCTCGATGTAACTTGGCTCTATGTAACTTGGCTCTATGTAACTTGGCTCTATGGTAACTTGGCTCTATGGTAACTTGGCTCTATGTAACTTGGCTCTATGGTAACTTGGCTCTATGTCACTTGGCTCTATGTAACTTGGCTCTGTGCAAGTTGGCTCTGTGCAACTTGGCTCTGTGCAACTTGGCTCTATGTAACTTGGCTCTATGTAACTTGGCTCTATGGCAACTTGGCTCTATGGTAACTTGGCTCTATGGTAAATTGGCTCTATGTTAACTTGGCTCTATGTCACTTGGCTCTATGTAACTTGGCTCTGTGCAAGTTGGCTCTATGTAACTTGCCTCTATGTAACTTGGCTCTATGTAACTTGGCTCCATGTAACTGAACTCTATGTATCTTGGCTCTATGGTAACTTGGCTCTATGTCACTTGGCTCTATGTAACTTGGCTCTGTGCAAGTCGGCTCTATGTAACTTGGCTCTATGTAACTTGGCTCTATGTAACTTGGCTCTATGTAACTTGGCTCTATGTAACTTAACTCTATGTAACTTGGCTGTATGTAACTTGTCAAAGGGCTCCGCACGGAAGAACCCTTCGCGATGCTTTCGGGAAAAAAATAGCTTTCCGGGTCCCGGGTCAAAATCCTAAAGCGCAAGCTTGCTTCCCCACGCCTCGCAGGGTTTCTTTCCTCGATCAGATTTCAGGTTCGCCCTGGGGGACATGCCCCCGGTAGAGCACTTCAAGGAGCGCCTGCGAGGCTTCAAGGACTTCCGCCGCTTCCTGAGGCGAGCCCTGGGACATTTGCTGAAATGAATATTCGGCTGCTCAACAAGTGGTCGCAAATGGCCCCCTTGATAAATGAAAAGACGAGAAGCTGCGTAACCCTAGCCCCTTCAATTTTGAGCAACACCCATTTGTCGTGTTTCCCCTGTTGGGCGTTAAAATTTAAGTTAAAGGCAATCTGTCACTATTGGAAATATGTGTCCGTATTTTTTCCTTTTAAGGATGCCAAACCATGGAGGCTTTCGTGACTTTATACATGGGGCATCTTTCTTTAAGGGACCCACAAGGTGGTGCTGTCCCTTTCGGCTTTCCTGTGGCAACTTAACAAGCAAAAGTACGTCCAACACCATGACACGCCCGCATCACGTATTTCCTTTCTTAGGTGGGGTGATGTGTTACATGTGTTGGGAAACTTGGCGTTGTTCCATGAATTCTCTAAAAAGTGGAATTTGTTGCTCAGAAGTACATTTGCTTGAAGGTTATCATCTTCGGGTTGCTTTCAAAGTGAAACCACGGAGAAACAGCCAGCCAAGCGACCCTGTACAGGGCACACTTCCTTTCGCTCTCCACAGAAGTTGTTTCCCCTTGGTTCCCACTTTTACTCGCTCAAATTTCTGGGCGTTTTAAGTGAACAACACCCAGTTTCTGGGCGTTTTAACTGATAAACAACCAGTTTCTGAGCGTTTTAAGTGAAAAGCAACAAGTTAGCCTGGACCTGAAATGTGGCCAAGGAATACCACGAGTGTTACGCAGCGGTTTCGACATGAACGCCCAGCGACCGGGGGGCTTGGAGGTCGTGCCACACGCAGCAAGCCGCCTTGGACAACTTGATCGCGGTGGAGCGCCCTGGATTGCAATTTGTTAGACCCAGATAGGTTCTGTGGTTTGGAGCAGCTTTCATTAAGGGTTCCTGGGAAAGGTGTGCGTGTGTGTTTGAGGGTTATTCCGTACATTCCTGTTTTTATTTTTATGACTATTATTATGTGTTGTCTTTTTCCTGAGAGGTGGGTACCCTTTTTGGGATATGATTTTATAGGGAAACCAAGCAGATAGCGCCTGTTTTGCGTGGGTCCCTCCTATTGTTGGGGATGCCTTGTGTGCTTCGGCACGGACCCAGCATGAACCGCCGTTGTTGGGTGTGCTGAGAAAACAAGCAGACAACACAAGGATATTTTTTTTAATAGAGAAATGCGCCATTGCGCATTGACTGCTTTCGTTGCTTGTTTCTTTCTTTGTGTGTTTCTTTCTTTCTGTATGTCTTTCTTTTGTTGGTTCTTTGCTTGTTTGCTTGTTCGTTTCCTTTCTTGTTTGTTTCTTTCTTTCTTTCTTTCTTTCTTTCTTTCTTTCTTTTTTTCTTTCTTTCCTTCTTTATTTATTTCTTTGATTCTTTCCTTCTTTCCTTCTTTGTTTCTTTGTTTGTTTGCGTGTAGTTCAAGACTTTGGTTCGCGTCCTCCCAAAAGCGGCCTCCCGCGGGCGGAGCGGAGGATTCCGCAGCTCATGGCGCTGGTGGGCGGGGTCTCAGCTTCGGATCTGGGCAAGGCCGCGTGGGCGACGTGGGTGGGACGTGTTCCTCTTGGTTCCGTTTGCTCAAGAATATGTTATGTTTCCCCTTGGGTTTAAAGGGAGTCTATCACTACTGGAAATTATGTGTTATTTTTATTTATTTATTTTTCCGGGGGGCTTAAGCAAATGGAATCTCGTTTCCCGTGAACACCCACAACTAAAAGGGGACTTGCAGAAGAAAAGGCATATACCTAGCAGGATGCTGTTCGGGACCCATCATTTAGGTATGGGTTTTTCCCACCAGCCACCAACCCTTTCCATGGTGAACATGATGAACTTGGTTTGTCACCGACCACTTTGGAGGTGCATTTTTCTTAATCACAAAGTTTCTGAGGTTCCCCTAGCAAAGTCCATAGGTTTTTCTTGACACTCGCACGAATTGCTTTGGGAGGAGTCAAGGGAAGCCCAGTTGGAGCCCAGCCGGTCTGATCTCGATGGTTCAACACCTCACCAGGCTCGCCGCCAATCAGACGGAGCTTGGTTTCGTGTAAGCTTGGGTGTCGTGGGACAAAATCCACGCGAATCCATGGCACCAGGGATGGATGAAGCCCTATGCAAACTGGGAGAAGCCAATCACAAGCGGTCAATCTGTGCACCAGAAGTCCTCCCTTTCCGAAAGGACAGGCTTTTGATATGACGTAGTCTGATCGTTAAGGGTTCGCTAAATTTGGACCAGATCATTTTTAGCTGTCGCTAAGTATGGGCCAGAGTCCAAAAATACAATAGTCAGTGTTGGCAAAAGCCGAGGTAGGCTTGGTGCTGGCTGATGTTGCGTAAGAACGTTGATCTTGCAATTCAGCAGGCGCAAACAGTTGTGACCGAAGGAGCACCAGTGGCTGCAACACAGTCGCTTGGTTCTGGGAGTGTTTGCCCCTATATTGTGATTTGGCTGTGGGTGGTACCATTTTGGGGTAGGTGCACCACCCATTTTAGTCTTTTTTAGTGGGGATTGGGATGTTCACTGCGGGTACGATTTGGATTTTGACCCATGGCCATTTGGGTACGCCTCAGTCGCAAGAGGGTTGATACTGCTGAGCTTGGACACATCCAGTCTGATCAGCAGCATCAGGCGCCCCTGCGGAGCTGATTCGGGGGGGGTTGTCTTTACCTCCTCCTCCCTGTTCTGTTTGCAATCAGCTTGTCAGCCCTCTTCTCAGCGTATGATTTGAGCATCCAAAGGGCTACGCTGGATTCTCTAAACCTCCCAGTGAAACAGCCACATCTAACCACCACACACGAGAGTTTTTCGTACAGGGTTCCCAACTTGTTCCTGTACTGCCTTTACGTTTCCTGACTCAAACACATGTTTTTGCCTTTTTGCCCTGTTGGGTTTACTATGTTTTCCCTTTCAGCCAGCAAGCAGCTACCTTTTGGCAGGGGCAGATTGGTCGATTGGTTTGGCCAGGAATCGAGTTGCCCATTTCGGGCCGATTTGCCAGGCCAACTTCGCTGGGCAGTCCTACTCGTCCGCCTCTTCAGGCGCCGCAAGCAGGTGATGGATGTTGTGCCGCTGGCCCCGTGATCTTGCAGGGGTCTCTGCAAATCAATCTACCAATGGTTCTTTTTTGTTTGAGGTCCATGTGAAGTAAATGGGCACTGGTTTCAGTTGTTCCAATAAGTTAAGCCAGTAAATCTGTCAGGCGAATCAAGCTTTGCAGTTTCATGGGAATCCCAGCAAATTTCCTTTACGTCGCAGGTCGGTCGAACGGCTCGGCGGGTGGAGGGCGTGTATGGCTGGTGGCGATAGTTGTGCTGGCGGCGCGCTCAGCCTGCTGAAGATTTAAAATACGCGCCTAATCTAAAAAGCACACGTGATAAACCATGATCCTGGCTAACTGTGGGTTTTTAGGTTTTCCACGCCCCCACTCGTTATGTATGACCCTACGGATTTGGAGCAGCTGCGGAGAGACTGACGAGCGAATGCTAGCTGAGGGTTGGCGTGGTCTGATTCCTGATGGCATGTTGTTGTGGGGGGAACCAACAGCAATCAGGACCTGCTCACTGCCATGCCCTGCCCAGTCCAGGTCTGATTCCTGATGGCATGTTGTTGTGGGGGGAACCAACAGCAATCAGGACCTGCTCACTGCCATGCCCTGCCCAGTCCATCCGAAAGCTCCTTGTTGTTGGGCAGACATGTGGTGTGACTGGTTTTTTGGAGACCACTTCTTGGTGGTTACCAAAGGAACCGCCAAAGGAAGACCGCAATTTTTGTTTGGGGGAGGGAGCAGCCTCAAAGATTGGAAACCCAGGTCCTCTCTGCAAGATGCGATTGGAATGACGTCAAGGGCCCACCCCAACACCCCCAGGCCCCACGCGGGTGCGAAGAAAGCGCCGAGTGGGGCCTGAGCAACACCCAGGGTCCCTTCACTCCGGATTGTTCTCAAATATGTAAATATGGGGCTCAGAGGGCCTTTTTCAGGCCTCTTGTAAAAGCTCCCCTTGACGAATGCAAAGCCCCAACCTGATTCCGAGATGAGACACTGCTGTGGATTGACGAAATCCTGCACCACCGCAGAGACCCTGGAAGGATGATTCCCATGTAAAGACCAACAAACAATGGTTTCCCACGGTTTCCAAGGGGTGCGAAATGGATTTTGTCCATCCACACTAGGTTCTGGCTGCGGCGGTGGCCATCTTTGCCCACCCGGACTTGCTGCTGCAGCTGCCGATGGTGCCCTGGGAGCGACGGGTACAGGCGGGACCGAATCGGGCAATCGGTCAACCGGCCAACCGCCGTTGAACGGTTTCCTGCGCTGGGGGCGAGAAATCGCCAAGCACTTTTAAGCTCTTTTCTTCCCAAGCCGAAAGATGATGGGACATGTTGGGTCTTGCAGACAATTGAAGCAACCTGTGGGGAATTGGGGACCCCCACATGCCATGCATGTCCATCCAGTTGCTTGATTTTGCCTGGTGTGTCGGCAAAATTTCAACCTTGGCTGCCAGATTGTGCCTAATTTGTTGGTCTACTTTTGTGCAACTGATTTTGCAACGCTCGTGTGGAATATGTGGCCACAGTGATATCCCCCCCCTAGTAAGTCAAGAGTTAACCACCAGAAGTATGACAGCCCGCCCTGATCAAGTTTGGGGGTCAAACGAGCCGGAGAAAGGACCACGAATGATTGTCCTCAACCCACGCCCTCCCTCCAAGCCACACAATGCGCATAGTGCAGAGGGCCATTTAAGAAGGCAGTCTTCCAAAAAACATGTGCATTTACATGTTTGGCGGTAAACTAGATGAATGGGGAACACCCTGGCAAAATGGTGCTTGCAGATCAATTCTCAGGTAAGTGATCTGATTCAAAGATTCATCCCCAACTAGGCATTGCCAGACATAGCTTACCTTTGCACTTTTGCCTTGGATTTCCTTTTACTCTCTTTCCAATCGAAGTAGAGAGGCCTCAGAAAGGAGGTGACCATCCAGCCTCATCCAAGAGTTAAATTGGCTGGCTCGTGGTCGTGAGGGTTTACATGTCGAGTCATATCCCTTGCTTCCCAACTCCCGTCCCTTACTCTCCAGACAAAGACGAGCCACCCTCATGTACTTGGCTGGTGCGTGGATGGCAGGCGCAGCTGACAGTTGAGCAGGTCAGCGAAACCGCGCGGGCGCGCGTTGCCGGCTTCTTCGATGCTCGGACGGCTAGAACTTGCTCAGCGGCACTTTTTAAAGCATCCTTTTGTTGGACAAGCAAATGAGCCGGGGTTATCTCTGTTTTACCACAAAACAAGCAGGAAGCGAGGAAATGTCGCAATGAACAGGGGAAACTAATTTGAGGGCACCCTCCAAAAAAACACCCATTTAACCATCCCGCTCAGTCACGCAACCCTCACTTCCGATCGGACCAAACAAAGTCTGAACTTTTTGTTTACCGCCCTATAGTCAAAAACGACATATGGTTTTTAGGTGCAAAGGGGCACTAAAACTGTCAGGAACCTTCATGGGGATGAGCATGTGTGGTGCGGAACCCAACTAACAGACTGGGAAAACTGGCTGAGCATAAACCTCGCCTAGAGGAAAAGCTACCAGTACTGGAGTATATCTTGTTTGTCCGTGATTCAAGCAAGTGGGCGGTTCACGATTTTTTGGTGTGAGAGCTTGCACCTGGAGCCTCGTGGGCAAATCATATACTTCCATTTGCTTAAGAATATTTTTATTTTCCACTGTTGGCTTCAAAGGGAATTGATCACTACTGGACATGTTTTCTTTTTTTTTTCCAGGGGACTTAAGCAAATGGAGGTATATTTGAGTGCATCTCCCATTACTTTGACGGGACAGCTTTTGTGCAAAACTCCCCAGCTGGTTTCGCCATTGACGCTCAGGAAATCGAACAATCTGCCAACAATGTGCTTACCGAAAACCGGTAGGCCTGCCCAAGTCGATATCGCCGATACCCACCCACCTGGTCACCTGAACGGCGCCTGCTTTTGAAGACGTACCTGGAGTCTCCGTGACCCTTTAAAACGGGTCAATGACCCCATTATTTTGGGTAACGACCCAAAATAAATTTGCCCCCCCATATTTTTGTTATATATATTTATCTCTCTCTCTCTACCGGCACCCTCCCTCCAAGGGTTGTCCATTTGAACCGAAGTGCCTGGCTGGTTGCCATTTTGGGAGTTGACCACTGGAGGGTGCTGGTACCTGTTTTTTGTTTTGTTTTTTTTTCCCATGAAGGTCCTGGCGTACCGAGGCTCAAGTTGCCATCGTTTGGGTCAGTCGGTTTCGAAGAGCCCGGAGCCCAGGGCGCGGCCCCGGAAGTGAAGCCCGCGGAGACAGCTGAGCAGGCCTTGGGGGGTGATTTGCCTTGGTTTTTTTTGGGCGTGGTTGTGCGTCTTTTGTTTGGGGGGGTAACAACCATTTGGTGTGGTGTTCAAAGGGGAACCGACATAAGGCCAATTTGGGGGCTTGCTCACTTTGAGTGGTTGAAACAACTGGGACACCCGCTGGGTTGCTTCTTTTTGGCTTGTTGGAGACCATCCGGAAGAAGCCACGGCAGCATTCGCGGCACTTCAAATAACGCGGCAGCTTCGCAAAAGAAATGCACGCTCCATTTGGAGGGACAACCAAATGGTAGACGACCGGTTTCGGAACTTTCTTGAGCGTCAGCGGCCCCCTAGGCCCTAAGAGCGATCTCACCTTTTGAGCTAGGCAGTGTGCCAAATCAAATGCACTCTGACATGTTGGCTGGGTGCAGTTGCATCCAGACTTTGACTTGGCCAGTCTGGCGCAGAACACGCACACCAAGAGTGGTGATTTGTTGAAACCGTGTTGTTTGCTAGAGTTCCTTGAGCACTCAAGACCTGAAGCCTAAACTTCTTGGAACAAAACAGTTTCTTGACTGCTCAAGTTGCCGGAGCATGTTAGTAAGGACTCAGCACTGGCCAGCTTTTGCCGGCTGGTCATTTGAGCAGGTCATTCTTGCTTTTTTGGGGAGAGGGCGCGGGGTTGGCTAGTTGTGGTTGCTTTGAGGCCCTTGTTTTTTTGGTTTTCTCCTGGCAGAAGAGCAGCGGACCAGGCGTTGCTATGATCATTTATGTCGGCGCCTGAACCTGAACCAAGCCTTGGGAACGGAGACCAAGCCCCACGAAAGAGGTGCAGTTACTTGTGCGGTCGTGGTCGGCGTACATGGTTACCTGGAGCTGGAAATCCAGCGCGGAAACCATGTGTGAAAAGACCCAACCCGACATTTGCAGGGGGGATTGGCGGTTGGTTTGTCAAGCCGCCAAGGGTTTGCTGCCCTGTGAAAGCAGTCATTTTTTGGAAGGCCTGCTAGCAAGGTCAAGGCTACAGGGCTGAGGCGATGTTTTTTTCCCCCCCCAAGTGTAGGCAGGCCACGCATGAAAATAATTGAACAGAAGTGGAGTGGCCACAGGCAAGGCTGCAGGGCAGAGGGAAGCCTTGGCAAATGCGGGCCGCTCATGAAATGAAAAGAGAAGTTTTGCCCGGAGGCTCCGGAAGCTGGCGAGGAGCTTCCTGAAGCCGCCGTGCAGGACCGGCTTCAAATGGGGTGTGGGGTGCCTCTGGGCCTCTTGCTGGCCTTCGCTGGCCAATTTGGGTTGGGATCTTTATGGGTCATGTGGTATCTTTCCGCCCCAGCTGAAAGTTCAGCTTTTTGCCCGGAAGTAGCCGCACAGTTCAAACTGTTTTGGCAGCCTGGTTGAATCATGTTGGTTTGGGTTTCTTTCGACAAAGCAGGAAGCGAGGGTTTCCCTATGGTGTTGTGAACGTCAAGTCTTGGTCAAAGGGCTCCAAGCCCCATGCCCCAACCCCACCGCTGCCCTGTTTCCCCCAAATAAAAAAAATGATCAAGGCCGTGTGTGGGTGGCCATTCTTTGGCGGATGCGCAGCGCCATTTGGAATTTTGGACATGCCGATGCGTCAGGAAGTGGCTGCGCTGCCAGAGGGATGGAGCGCTTACCAGGACGACGAAGGTGTGGATCTCACTTTCAGGTCTCAAGGCGATCGGCGGTTCACCGAGGTCAGACCTATTATGCCAACCCTGCGTGATGGCCTCAGTGACATTCGACCAATTCTCAGTGGTTCAGAGCGAATCGACCTGAGATGACCTTTTGGTTGCAACCCATTTTGGGATGCCATATTTCGTGGCAACCCAAAATGTGGTGACCTTGTATTTCTGGGTCCGTAAGGGGCAAGTGAGCATTTCTTTCTCCCGTGTTGCATCCGTTTCGGGCCCGTCGACCCGGTTGAATCCGAGTCTGAGGACCGGTGAGACCAGCTGGGACCCTCCTCCTGTTGAACCTGCGCTCCCCGACAGCCGGACGGCTCAGGCGACGAGCACGAGTCGCACGTGGTGCACTGCTTCAGATGTTGCATTTGTTGCATGCACTACGTTGCCTTGCAACGTGTGTTGGTTTCAGATGGCCACTGCCAAATATTTATTTCTTCAGGCCTTGCGTGGAGGAGACCAGGGGTCCCATGATTTGCGGCCTTCTTGATGTACTTTTCCATGTTTGGGGGGGTGTCCAAAGCGGACAAACGGTACCCCTGGCTCAAAGTCAGAGCTGGACTGGCCTTCCCGCAAAACCGGCAACGAGGGGCTGACTCTGAGACCGAGTGCTGAATCACGATGTTGTGTATGTTGTAGTGTTTCATGTGTTCCCCCTCGCGGAGAGATCCACCTGGGTGCGATATGCTTTCCCAGGCCTCAATAAGATTGGTCGTTTTCCCCAAGCTGCCACCCCCCAACTCCCAACACGGTTTTCTTTTTGGCAAAATTCTGCCAGACCTCTCCAAGTAGCACCGCGCAAGCTGTTGCCTGCAGGAACCCGCAACTGTGGAAGCCGCCACGCAAGCTGAGGGCAAAGGATCTGAACTTTGATGCATGAGGCGTAACCACGGGAGCGGCTGCTCACTGGTTTACGGCCAAACTGGGTGCGTTCTGTTTTGGGGGACCCCTCAATCAAACATATGGTGGCTTTCCCTTCCTGCGTAGCTCCCAGCCATCCGCTCAGCTTCTTAGCTTTGTAGTGTTTAGTAGTTAAACTTTCAGCAGGGGAGTTGAGGAGTCCAGCTTCGGTTTCCCTTTAGAGCGACCCAAAAAGGGGTTCTCTCAGAAAAAGTCACACCCAACTGGAGCCTCAGACACCTTGGGGCGACAGAGATGCCTGTGAGCGTTCCGTGTGTTGTTTACTTTGGAATGGCTTCAAAGGACAACCTTGAAAGATCATTTGACAGATCATAGCACGTATGCAGAATACATTCATATTTGTAGTGTTGCTTTTCATTAGTTTCAAGTGGCATTTCCGAAACGCACGAAACGTTTTGCCTGAGCCGAACGTGTACCATATCTCCGAGCCTCCTCTAATCCGCCCAAAGGTGCGCGGAAAGTTTGGCGACTTGGCCAACGCGCGTTTGTGAGCCAATGGAATCAGAAAATGGGCGTCGATTGGTGTTTTGTTTGTCTCTCTCTCTCTCTATCTCTTTTTTTGGCGGGGGAACCTCTTTTGGCCAGTTTTGAAGGGTCTCCAAAATGATGACAACTTGATTGAAGTTTGTGCCTTTCTATAGACACCCCAAATGCTGGTTCCCAAATGTACTTGCTAGTTCCCGAAGGATCATCAAAGGTTTGCGGTTGGGGCACGTCCTGGCACATAGTTGTTGTTGACTTGATGCTTGTTTCCGTTGTTTTGCGTGCCCTTTTTTTTTTTTCCTCCCGCAGCTCTCACTACGCAGAGTCACGCATGAGTTCAAGAGCATCATGCACTGAGCAAGAGGAGAGGCTTGACTCTCGTTGCTCGAAGCCACTTTTGAAGCCAGTTAGAATAAGAGATGGAGCGTCAATTCTAGTCAAGTCTGGATGTTTGCGACATTCCAAAGCCTTGGAGGGAAGTATCGCCAGCCCGAGGGATAGTCAGGACGCACACCCCGCTGAGTGAGCAGAACAAAATGCAAGGATCTTTGTTGTTTCTGTTGTCCAATGGTTTTCCACTCAGCCGGACAGAGCAGACACTTGCCAGCGCTCCCATGTTGCCATAGGGGCAAGCAGAGCGCCTGAGAGCTGCACAGTTTGGTGGGAGGTTGCGAGCCCAGAGAGCTGTGGGGCTGTGGTGAAGATTTATGTTTGTTGTTTCCTTCGTCACGCTTTCCAGTGTTCGTCAGGTATCCATGATTTGGTGGTTTGGATTGGTGGTTCGGTAAATGGGGAGCCCCTCCTTAACCACACAACCACCAATCGAAACCACTTGTGGGAAGCTGATTTTGGGCCATTTGGACAGTTGTGTTTGGGCAGGGGGAAGCTGCAGTTTACCGCGAGCCTTTGCTTTGTAGCTTGATTTGCTTCACCTTGCAATAGTAGGGAATCTACCGAAATTTGAACAACATTTGGTATGTGACCAGAACGTGGCAAGTATGTAAATTATAGGTGTATATAGACATGTATGTATAATATATGAGTAAAATGCCCATGCATATATTTATTATCAACATACATATATATATATACAGAAACATGATGTCCAAACGAGCCGGAGTCCTAGTTTGTTGTTTTTGGTCCACCTCCGGCCTGAGTCGATGTTTGACTTTGACGACCTGGAGCAACGCTTGGAAGCGAAGGCGAAGGCCCGGGGAGTTCGGTACGTGCGTTTTGGATGCGCCAAGGTTCGTATGTCGGAAACCGGACATTTCCCACTTATATGCCCCGGAACATCAGTGGGCACATGTTTCTTTTGTCTTGCTGAGTCAAGACCCTCTGGATGCAACGGCAGAGAGAGAGAGAGAGCGAGAGAGAGAGAAGACCCCCTCCAGCAGAGTTAGTCTTGTTATGGGTGGGTATGACCCAGGTGGGTACGTTGGTGAACTAGGTGATACTCAGCCCAAAGCGAATCGACCGATCGAAAAGACTTTTGGGTTCTCCCCATTTTGAGATCCCATTCTTAGTCATGGCCCCAAAAGGTGTTCAGCTTGCACTAGAAAAACAAACTTATTATCCCCCGCTCAGAGGAGTTAATCTCAAGGTTTGTTGGTGGGATATGACCCAGGTGGGCAACCGCGTACTACCCCCCCCCCCCCTGCAGATTACGTTCCCAGACTTAGCTTATGTTCTGCTGCTAACCCATTTGTGATAGCAAGGGAACCCCCCTCAAAGTGAAGCAATCATGGAAATGAACCCCAGTATCCCGCAAAATAAGCGAAGACTTACGCGGGGGACAGCAGCCACCGAGCTGAGACGCCAAGCTAACGTGTGCCAGGCGCGAGCAAAGGACACCGAGGCCGCGAGATTGGGATTCGCCATGCCTTGAATGGCACGCTGGGATTACCTCCGCTGACCCCCAAAAAGATCTTTGGTGCATTTTGCCAAGGGATCTTAGGACTTTGACTTCTTGCCAACTATTGGGTTTTCCATCAACCCACTAAAAGTTAAGAACCTTTTAGTATGGGACCTTTTGACCTTTTGGTTTCCCTGCTTTGGCCCATATTTAGCCATGGCCCCAAAAGGTGATCACCTTTTAGTCCCAGGTCCGTCGGGCAACTGAGGGGGAGCAGAAAGCCACCGATTTTGGTCCCCCAGACGGGCCGCCGATCTGGCCCTTGATCGGCTCGATGGCTTCTGGGTCTTTGGTTTCGTCCAGCCCGGAAAAAGCGCCGGGTCCAAAGGAACCCGCCCTGGAGCTGATATGACAAGAGTACTACAGACTAATAAAGGGGAGCAGCAGGGGGAAGAGCATGGTGATTTCCACAAAATGGCAGGGCCGGCCTTCCCGAGAGGGCATTTTTTTCCTCTTCCATTCTAGCCCCAACCGGGGCTTCTTTCCGTTTGTTAGGACACCGCCATGGCCTGAACCGACTTCCGGCCAAGCCCAGATCACCCACAGAGGAACTTACAAGTCATTTTGGCCTCAGCACGTTTAAGACCAGGCCTCCGAAGGGGGTGGCAGCCCTCCGAAAGGGGTGGCAGAGTTGGAGCCCTCTTAGAAAGAGGCCGCGAGGTGATCCAAAGCGCTGAACAAACAGCTTGGTCCCCACATCCCAAAAACCGCGGCTCGGATGGCGCCGGTTTTGGGAAACACCGAAGTATCATTGGATCGATAGATGCCCCCCTGACACCCCAAGCAAGGCTTGCTTTCCCCAAACCTCGGCCCAGGGATTGCTTGAAAGAGGGGTCAGACGGTTATGGGATGTGCAGTGGGTTTGGGATGCTAAATGATTGCTGGTGCCCTGAGCCGTTTCTCACAAGGCCGCGGTCCAGCTCGCAACTGGTAGAAGGGCAAGCCAAAGAAGTGACCCTCCTGAAAGGGCCTCAGGGAGGTCAGTGCATCGTCTGTACACGCGGAATTCGGATCGTCTGTACACGCGGGACCGGATCGTCTCTGCACGCGGGCCTTTTTTGCCCCGGATCGTTTGTACACGCAGTGCGTACTGCTATGCACAAGCGGGTGTGCTTATTAGGTGGTAAGCGTGGATGCAGCGCTAGGCGGACGCGCGTGAGCGGGTGTGCCCCACCCCGCCCCGCCCCAGCCCCCACCCCCACCCCACCCTTCCCCAATACCGCACCCCATCTGTTGCACGTGAGCGGGTATGCTTATTAGGTGGCAGGCATGTGCTTACCCGCCTCCCCACCCACCCCCCACCCCTTCGGGCTACTCTTGGAAACAGCGCTGAGCGGGTGCACTTGAGCGGGCGTGCTTACCATTCCCCCCTCCCCCCCACCACCCCCCCCCCTGAGCGGGTGTGCTTACCAATCCCCCCCCCCCACACCCCCCCACCCTGCCAAAAGTGTGTGTGTGTACAGATGAGCCAGATGACAGAAACCTTGTGTGCGCAGATGATCCAGAGTGCATGGCGCAATAAGTGAGGAAAGCCTGTGTGTACAGATGATCCAGATTTGTGTGCGCAGATGATCCCCTGCCCCCTCAGGGATACCAAAGTAACCAGAAAATGTGGTCAATCTGGGCACGTCTCAACCCCGAGGTGAATGGGAAGAGCGGCAAGCTGGCCGGGCCCTCGTTCGTGGAGGTTCTCTCAGAAAATATCCGCTTGTTCCAGCACTGGAGATATGGGTAAAGGGCGCCTTTGTTTGGGTTGTGTTTGGGAGCCATCAAAGGGAAACCACATACCATTCTGGGGCCCATATGTTTTTTTGTTTTTTCTTTTTTTCTCCGGAGCTTGGGGAAACCAATCCGTCACTACGGGAAATATTTATATGCTTCCAGGCGGCTTAAGCAAATGGAAGTTGAAGTTGGGCCGAACGCGGTTGGTTTCATCATGCGTGCTCCAAATAGACAAGTTCTCCAGGCGTGGCTGACAGCTATCCTTTTCGGGCTGCTTGCACTTGGTCAAATGGTTTGGTTGGAGGAGATTAAGTTTATGTCAGGTTAAGATGTATCCAGTGGACTGCTAGAGGAATCCCCTTGAAACTGATTCAAATAACAGCTACAGCACAGCTATGGCGTGAGCACCTGAGAACATTCATGTGGACGGATCTACGCCTGATTCCCAAGCCTTTGAATTGTGATTTGTTCCTCTCCTCGCATGGGGGAGCGGAGGTTTTTTTTTGCAGCGAGCCTTTTGGGGCACTGGCTGGGTGCCAATTTCTTCGAGCTCGAGCGGCAGAGTCCAGTTTGAAGCGTGGCTGAGGTCCGTATTTGGGCCATCTCGGACATTCACACCGATGATCACCACAACAAGGTGCGCGGCTGAAGGCCGAAGACGTTCGAAGTGCTAAAGGGTTTACTCCTGACTCAAAGGCGCTGTTTCAAGATAGCCAACTACCTGGAGTCTCCTTCTGACCCAGAACAAATGGGGTCATCACCCAAAATAATGGGGTCATTGACCCACTTTTTAAAGGGTCATGGAGACAGCCGGCTACACGAAAGGCGCAGCATATGCCACCGGTGCCGAATTTGCCAATGTGTCAGACTTAGGATATCATTGGCATATCGCATCATATCGCCGAGATTTGGACAATCTATCTCACATGGAGGTGTGTCAAACCTAGGCACCCTTTTGGACATCAAAGGCTCAAAGGGGTTCCAACATGACATATGGCGATTCAAAGCCACAGAAAGGCAAGCCATTGCATCCTAATAACGATTTTTCGGGCCATTGAAGACAATTAAGGGCCATATCCCTTCTTTGACTTCCCTTAATGTGGCTTTGAATCGATGTTGGATTTTAAGAATTCCATTTTTAACCGAGTCCCAAAGTCGGTAGGGGGTTGGGGACATCGACAGAGCTGGACAATTTGAACGACATACGACCGAAGCCTTGGCAGATTTGTTTTAAGGAATTGGATGTCTCAACCCCGCCTTGCTCAGAAACAGCGATGATTTGGCACGGAGCAAAACGCGGATGTTTTGCAATGTTGGGAGCTGTGGGCCATTTTGCTGAAAGTAACGTGGAGCAGGTCTTTTCGATTTTGATGCACGCTAAAGCTTTCTCGCATTCTGATTCACTCCGAATCTCACTTGATTGTCTTTCTTGCCCTGGGCCTTAAGATTGAAGTACTTTGACAGACGATGACCGCGATTCAAGTGGCAGAAATCATGAGCTCGTTTTCGCCCGCCAGGTGGGCCAGTTCTAACCTGAACAAAGATACATTCCATCACCCCTTGCTTGAAAGTCCCCTTGTTTCGTCTTCCATTTGCTGAAATGAATATGTTGTTCTTCTCCCCTGCTGGTTTTAAAGAGAATTGGTCACTGGAAACTTTAGAGCCTCCGGCTCAGTCCGCCGACCTGGTCCTCTCCCTTTTCTCCTTCTTCCTCTCCCTCTTGTCTCCTCCCCCGTGTGTTCTGTCGTCCTCTCTCCCTCCCTCTGCTCCCATCTGCTACCCATCCTCCCCATTCCCCCAAGCCTCTCTCTCCTCAATCTCCCTCTCTCTGTCTCTCTCTATCTCTCTCTCTCTCTCTCTCTCTGTCTCTCTGTCTCTCTCTCTCTCTCTCTCCCTCTCTCTGTTTCTCTGTCTCTCTCTCTCTCTCCCTCTCTCTGTTTCTCTGTCTCTTTCTGTCTCCCTGTCTCCTTCTTGTCCACGCCCCTCTACAGAAAAAAGGGTACCCTTATTCTAACCTCTCTACTGGACGACCTGCTCTCTCTCTCTCTCTCTTTCTCGCTCTTTGTGTCTCTCTCTCTCTCTCTCTCTCTCTCTCTCGCTCTCCTCTTTCTCTCTCTGCATTGCAGCGTCACGTCCCCCCTGAGTTGCCTCGATGTCCGTGCACTGCCCCTTCATGACCCTGAACTGACTGCTTACTACTGGCTTTCTTCTTGATTTCCCCTTCATGTCCTTTTCACGTTTCGCATGATGTCCTGGTCATGTCCCTTCCATTCCTTTCAACTCCCCCTTCATCATTTTCTCGGTATGTCCGCTTCATTTTCCATGTATGTCCCGTTCTTTTGTTGCGAGTCATTTCCCTACATCTCCCGTCGTGCCGATTGGTTTCCTTGTCCTTTGTTTCCCTTTCATTCCCCCTGCACTCCGCTTGTTTTCATTTCTGTCCCTTTCATGTCCTTTTCCGTTCCCCTTTCATTTCGCCTTGCTTCTCTGTCATGTCGACTTCCTATTTCCTCCCCTCATTTCCTTGCACTTCTTTGCATTGAATTCCTTTTTGCTCCCCATTATTTCCCGCAAAAAAACACGGTTTTGCCAGCGTTTTCGCAAAGAGGACATCAACAGACACAGAGTTTTTCCAGATGTTCGGCAAAAGCAGGCAGGACACCGGCAGGGGGATTCGAGCCTGGGACCCCTGTTTTGCGACAACGACTATGTTTAGTGGAACGTCATCAAATTACCGCGCAGTACGTGCTTGATCCCCCCCAAAAAAAATCAACAACAAAAACTACGTATTTGTCGTTGGGTGGGGGGGGGTGTTATCCTCTGTCCTCTCTTAAGTATCCAACACGCCTCCACAATGTCGGCGGATATTTATTTTTTTCCAGGAGGCTGAGGCAAATGGAAGCAAGTGACTCGCCTTTGGTTGTCATCCGGCAGGAGTGGGTGGAAGCCATGAACACCACCGGCACCGCAAATGATGTCATCATAGCGACCTGCTTGCAAAGCCAGGTGCCTTTCAGAACGCTCGCCGTTTTCTCTTTTGTATTCACTCTTCAGCTGCCTTTTCATTGCTATTCTTGTTGTTTTTTGTTTGCTTGTGATTTGTTTGTTCTGTCCACTGGCTCGAGAAGCTGCAAATAAAGCTGGGGTGTTTGGGAAGTGGTGGAGCTTACTTTGGGCAGGCAACCTGGAAGGAGTCTCCTATCTAAAGGGGCTCCTTGGCACCCCCTTCTTTCATCCAATCCACAGGAAATTCTACATGAAGTTTGGAAATTACCCCAGGACTGTAGGACGCCCTATGACTGCTTTCTTGGATGTTTGCCACTGGAGGACGCGTGGTCTGCATGGTGCAGCCTTTCCGTAGATGATAGCACAGTCACGATTGTAGGTGTGCGTCAAAAGTTGAGCCCCCGCTTGCTGAAGGATGTGACTAACTTGCAGGCAATTGGGCATAGTGCTACTCGCAGCCTCAAGATGTTACCCTTGTAATTATATCCAGGTCCTTTGGCACTGGGTCCGACAGCACAAGCACAGTACATATACCAATTGTATAGACGGCGCACTATTTCCCCCTTCTTGTTCGGTGAGTTCTCACATTATTCAGTACCAAACAAGGTTTCCCTCTTCTCGCTCCGCGACTCGCCCTGAAATTTGGCCACTTGTGGTTTCCCATGCTGGTCCATTTTTCATGGCCCGAAAGGTGCCTCAACCGGAGTTTTGCTGGGCGTAGCCTATGAGGTTGCGGGAGACATCTCCCACAAGTGGGAGGTGATCCGGGATACCTTGTCCTTTTTCAAGGCGCCGACAATGTGGCGGCGGCGGGGGGGGGGGGGCTGGCTTTCTGTGGGAGGTTTCTGGTTTCTGGGGCTCCGAAAACTGTGGCGCCTTTGCAGGACCTTCCATTGGAAACATGTTTGGCGCCCTAAAGTCCCACTTAATGTTGACCCCGGATATATAAACCGATGTTTGCCAATAAGTGTTCCCCTCCAAAAGTGATACATCCCCACTAAAGCCAGGAACAGCCCCATATTAACAAAAATGGGTTTATTAATCTGGGGTTAACATTATCAAAAGTTTCTCAAAGGAAGTCGCAACATACCGAACCTGCAGCCTCCATTGATACGTTGATTTTTGCTCGAAAACATTCTGCTCGTGACAACCTGTTCTAAAATAAGTGTCCGGTTCAACAAAAATCGCTCGAGTTGTCAGCAATCATGCGCCCGTCGGAACTCATTCCCTGTACCATGTTTGGGATTTTCGCTCGTTTGCACTTTTTTGGCGCTTGTTTCGTTGATGACTCTTCCTAAACTCGCCCCTGTGAAAGCATATGAAACTAGAGAACTTGATTTCTGCTCGAATCCGAAAAAATGTTCGAACGCAATTGTGAAGGGAAACGCACTACAACGTGTCAATTTGTGTATCGAACCACGGGGGAGGCATAAATTTTCGCTACGATGGAGGCTCCAGGAAGCTTGGCTTAGCCAGACTCAGGTCATTGCGCTGAATGAACACAACGTTCACTTCAAGTTTGAACAAGAATCATTGGAGTGGTTCCCCCAATTTGAACTACTCACCGCCCCCCGGTTAGTGGGGCAGCCACTGCTGGCAGATCGGAATGTTGGTGATTCACACGAAGCGAGCCTTAACAGTTGTGTAGTTTGCAACGTGATGTATTTATCAACCATGTAAACCCCAATGCATGCATGTCTCACTTGTGCAGTCTCATCATTACGACTGCACGTGGCTCAAGGAAAAAGCGCGCTGAGTACAGGGTTCAATTGTGACCCTTCCCGGTTGTTTAACCTGTTCTATAGGTTATCAGCCGTAAGCGGCTCTTTGTACAGAGTTGTACGCCATGGATGGCGACCCTGGACTACCCCATACCGAGGTGCGTCCCACACCTGGTGAGCCAGCAGGCGATGAGGACGCCTCGCAATATGAACCGACTAGTCGAGCAAACTCCCAAGTGGCCAGGGAGCTCATCAGGAAGGGACAAGCACTGAGCAGTCAGGGCCCCGAATCACTCCGATCCCGGAGTGACCGTGGGAGGGCTGGGCGGTCTGGTGCTCGATCTCCTTCTCCTGTAGGATCAGATCGGCATCGGCATGGTGACATCGTCATGTACGACCCCCAGACCGACCTCGCAAGGGGAAACCCTATGCCACAGTCCATGAATCAGTTCAACCAACATGTTGCGAACGTCCACCTCGATCCATCAATGACGATCAACCAGGACGTGACGAATTATCAGCAGATCAACGCTACCCAGAACAATGCCCAATTCAACCAGTTCGTGAATCAGGACACCGGTCCCATGGTCGCCCAGCTGGCGGAGGCAAGGCATGGTGAGATCATTGCCGGTCTCCAAAGCCAGTCGGAGACCATGAGACGCGAGATTCAGATGAATGCGGAGCAGCGTGCGAACACCATGAAGTCAGAAAGAGAAGCCGAGATGAAGTACCAAAACGCCATGAACACGATCAGCGAGCAGGAGAAGCAGATCAGAGAGCTAAGGGCTATGGTCGAGCAGATGATGCAGAACCAACAGCAACCGCCTGCTCAACCTGCTCCAGCTCCTGCGCCTCCGGTTCAGCAGGCACCAGCTACCCCCTTGGCTATCCCGACAGTTCCTTTGGCTGCATCTCCACCCGGACTTTCGAATGCTTCCTCGCACAGTTGGACGAAAGTCGGGAGCGACCCCTACGGCAAAGACGGATCTGTTCCCGCCGGGGCCGTGGACGATGCTGCTACCGGAGACGGTTGGCCTTGCGATGATGGTGATGGTGGAAATGACAAGGACAAGAAAAAGAAGAAGAAGAAGAAAAAGAAGAAGGACCGTAGCCGACGCCGGCGACGAGATCCGTCATCTTCTCCCTCGTCATCTTCGTCATCAACTTCGACTGCATCGGATGAATCTTTTCGACGAAAGCTACTGAAGCACCTAGGTAATTCGAGCGATCCGACAGCGGAACGCGTTCGTGTAAAGGAGGGTGACAGAATTCAGATTCCCCGATTCCCGAAGCCCGAACAGTACCGTAATTGGAGGATCAAAGTTAGGGATGCTGTTGTTGCTACTTCCGATCAACCCGAAAAGGCATTCGAATGGATTGAGGCAACTTGGATCCCAGGTCAAACTGTTGAAGTCCTTCGTGATTCAGGAATGTTTGTCCATCTTGATGCAAAGCTGGCATCGGCGTTGACGAATATCTTGGAGGGCGACCTCGCGCGGCAAGTGGACATTTTCAAAGAACAAGAAGCAAAGGAGAAACGCTATGCGAGGGGGCGCCAAATTCTTCTGATGGTTCACAAGCACTTCAGCACGAACATCAAACATGGTGCAATTTACGACTTTGAGGACTTGCTCTCTGTCCAGCTCATCAACGAGGACCTCAGAAATTTCATGACGAGATGGGACACGGTCATCGCTGGAATGGGCAATGAGCAAAATGAGAAGACCCTCGAAGCGCTGTTCCACCGCCAGATTCGAAAGTTTCGGCCCCTCAGTCATGATCTCAATGAGTATGAGCGAGCTGAGGAAGGTACGGAAAAGCACTCCTATAAATTCTTGATTGACGCATCGAGGAATTATTTGGAGCGCAAGAGGCTTGTTCACATGCGGGATGCTATGTCAAGCAACACAACGGGGCGTGGCAGGACTCCATCGAACAACCCTGCAGTTCCTGGAATCCCCAAGGGTGTATGCATCAAATTTCAAACTGGCCAGTGCACCTATGGTTCAGACTGCCGATTCGAACATGTTAAGGCACCGAAAGGTAAGGGGAAAGGCAAGAAGGGCGGGTCCAGACCCCAGACGCCAAGGAAGTATCGTTCGCAGAGTCCTCCCCCAGGTGTGCAAGTTCTTCAAAGCGAACAGATGTGAGAGGGGGAAAGATTGCCCATGGCAGCACCCCGCAACTTCCAAGGCAGCTCCAGCCCCAAAGGCCGAGAAGACCGCTAGTGGAGACACCCCCAAGACGTCGCCGAGGGACAAGAAAAAGAAAAAGGGGAAGAAGGATAGCAGGCCTTCTTCTCAAGATTCGAAAGATTCAAAGGGTTCTCAGTCCCTCAAGTCTCCGGGATCGTCAAAAGGCAGCAATGCTGCGGTGTGCCTCCTTCAGGCGATGGTGTGCGCCGCGACCCTCGACTCGGTCGCCTCGCATCCTTGCTTGCCTAGTGTGACTCACGATGTTTTCCAGTGTATGCCATGCATCAAGAAATGCGTGCAATTTTCTGATTACCCATCCATTTCGAACTATGAGACTGACGGCGAGCTTTGGCCCTACACTGCCTCGTCAAGAAGGTTTGCACACGAGTTTCCTGTTGATTATGTTCCGAAGTACGATGAGAGAGCCGTCTATGACGCAATTCTTATCGGCACCATGCATGAAGCTATGACGAAGGATTTGCTCAAAGGCACGAAGACTTCTTGCAAATTTCAATGCGACTCTGATTTCGGTTGTGATTCCTGCATCCCCGCAGGCCTAACGGCCGAGCCAGAGAAGTCCGTGACCTCCCCCAAAAAGGGGAAAGCCGCTGTTGCTCGAATGACAATGGATTCTTCTCACATTCCGTGGATTGCAGATACAGGAGCTTCTCAGGACTTGCTATCGGGGACCGATGCGGAGATGGGATGTATTTACGAATCGTCTCAGCCTCTGAAATTTTCCACGGCTAATGGGAATATCATTGGTACCAAGCAGGCCAGGGTCAAGATCCAACAGACCGATAGTGTTGTTCGGCCATATGTTCTTGACAAGGCTCCATCCGTGTTATCCGTGGGTATGAGATGCCTCAGGGACGGATATGATTTCGTTTGGAGAGCCCACAGCAGGCCTTATTTTCGACTTCCGGATGGTTCACGCATCAAGCTCGAGGTCAAAGACAATGTCCCATTCATTCCCCCAGCAACTCAAGATGCTGTTCCAGCTTTGTCACAGAGCATTCCAAAGGTTACATCATTACCATCAGCTCCCATTGAAATCGATGATGAAGTTCTGGTCATTGACGAGGAACCCGAAGCTGTTGAAGAGGTGCTTGTGACCAATGAGGATGATGGGGATGAATTGGGGAACGATGATTTCTTGCTTGAGGACACCATTAGCCAACCGGAAGGTGAGGTCATTGAAGAGTGCCATGACATTCCCTCCGAAGATGCGCCTAAGGTCATCGCTTCCGATTTTGTGTCGAAGCCTATTTTGAAGGACGCCCCTCGCGAACGCGGTGAAGCAGCTTTGCGTGATGAGGCGACCTCACTCCAGCACTTGATGTGTCACACTCCCAAAAACCCTTTTGTGAGACTTGCAACAGGGCGAAGATGTACAAATATCCATCAAGACAGAAGGGAGGTTCCACTCAAGTCGAGGCCAAGAAGTTTGGTGATCACCTCACGGCGGACCATCTTATTACATCAGATGATCGTGAAATCGGCATTGACCAATCTAGAGTTGCACTTGTTGTTCGAGATGTTGCCACTGACTTCCGTTATGTTTACCCAGCAGCACGGAAAACCTCTCATCAGTGTGTGATGGCATTCAAGCACTTTGTCCGCACCGGGGAAACCGTGAACGTGTTTTACAGTGATCGGGCTCCTGAACTTGTGAAAGCGGCAGATCAATTGGAATGGAAGCATGTTCAAAGTACAAACTACATTTCCAAAACAAATGCTATTGCTGAGAGGAACGTCAGGGCGATTATCGAGGGCACGAGGACCAACCTGGAACAAGCTGGTTTGCATCATTCGTATTGGCCACATGCCGCCAAACACTATTGCATGGCGCATAACATCACGGACCACTCAG